CAGCCCAGGGCGCTGGCAGAAGGCTAGCGTGTGATGTGGCTGTGAAAGGAGGCTGGGGCCAGATGGTGGCGGCTTCGAATGCCAGGCTGAGTCGGCTGGGCACGCAGCAGGCACTTCCAGGAAGACTGACTGACCAGGGCTGGGGATCTAGGGAGCTCCCCGAGGGCGTCCAGGTGAGAGGTGGGGCCTCTGCACCTCACAGGCCACTGAGACCCTCTGGGCCTAACCCCTCCAGCTTCCTCTCCCCTCAGGAGAGGACAATTTATTTATTCATGAGCATACAAACGCTCCCACCAGGCAGCCAGCTCCTGCACACCTCACTTCTAATTATAGCAGGAATTTCATTAATGCTGGAGGAGATGCCAGGTTTCCAACCACCCCTTGTTAGTGGGCACAGGCCGCCTCTCGTTCTCCTGCTGGAGAACATGCCCAGGACAGTACAGGGCAGTCGCAGGGTGGGCTAGCAGGCTGCACTCGCTGAGCCAGGAGGTGGCCAGCACGGCAGGGCCACGGGGAGGGGATGGCACCTGCCCCCACCACCTGGCCACATACAGAGTGCAGCCTCCAGCAGCTGGGAATGTGGGGCTGCCTCAGACCCGCGAAAGAGCGGGGGCGGGAGGGGGTGGCATGGTGGCTGCAGCCAGATTTAGACGAAGGCAGCAGGTAGGGAGGCCTGTGTTGTGCAGAGCTCTGAGGATGACAGGAGGAGGTGACGCGGTGACGTGGTGCAGCTGGGAGGCCTGGGAAGGAGTGGCGCTGAGGAGAGCAGAGGTGAGGAGGTGCAGGGACTCTGGGATAGGCTGCAGTCAGGGAGGCCTGCTGCCCAGGAGGCAGCGTTGGGGATGTGAGAAGACAGAAGCTGGGCAGGAGAGAGAGCAGGGAGAGCTGCGGACAGCCAGCCACAGGGAGACGGGATGGAGACACGCAGAGACCCACCCACTGCCTCACCCTGCAGGGACAGCCCAGACATACAGACACACACACTCACTCACACTCACGCACACACATGCACACACACACATACACACACACTTGCTCACACTCACGTACACACTCACATATACACACACATGTACACACATACACTCACATATACATACACACGCACACACACATACACTCACATATGTACATACTCATACACACATTCACACACACATACACTCACACACACACACTCTCACACACAGCTGAGCTGGGGCTTGGAGGCCAAGGCCAGAAGTAAAAAAATGACTGTGCCAAGTTGGGCTTGGCTGCTCACAGAGGACCCCCCTAGCTGACCAGGAGGGAGCTGGCTGGGCCCACCCAGAAACTTCGGGCCAGAGGCTCAGGGTGTACGCCTGGGGCAGGAGGCATGGCCGCCAAATCCATGCCCTCCTATGACCATGGGGAGCTGTCAGGGCCTCCAGCTGTGGGCGGGCAGGTCAGAGCTGTCAGGCCTGAACGCTTGGCCCCCACGCTGCCCCTCAGTCGGCTCCACTGTGGTCAGCAGGACCCCCCAGGCCAGTCTGAAAGTGGGGCCAGTGTGCACATGGAGGTCTTAAAACACAAGGGAAGGGAGGGGTCTCCCCTTCCCTTGAATACTCACGAATATTCACCCAGCCTCACATGCCGTCCTGACCAATCACACCCACACACAGGCGCACGCTAGTACACAAGCACTCACACAAGCACACAGCCACTCGCCTCCCTCCCTCCCTCCCTCTGGAAGCTCTGAGCCTCCCAGAGCCACTACTCAGGCTAGGGTGCACTGTCATCCTGGGTCTCTGGGCAAGGAACCCCAGTCCCACACCAGGGCCAGAACGAGAGAAGCTGCTAAGAGGAAACCAGCTTTGTCAGGCCCAGCTCCAGCTCCCAAACTGAGCTCACCCGGGCAGGGGAAGGGTTGCACAGGAAGGAAGGCTTGGAGAACACACTCTGTCTGCTGCCCTCTCCCGAAGGATCATGGCCCAAATTCCAGAAAGGGAATGGGAGCTGCTGAGGTTACACCAGACAGACCAGCGTACCAGACCTAGGTCTGAGGGCCCCACCACCCACACAAGGGCTTTCTATTCCTCCCCACCCCCTTACCCAACCCACAGCCTGTTAGACACCCCCTGATGTCAGGAGTGTGGATCTTTCCCTCAGCCCTGATGGAAAGTGGGGCCAGTGCCCTGATGTCCATGCAGTGGGGCCAGGGAGCGGGAGCAGGCACTGGTACATCAGTGCCCGTATCCTCTTCCAATCCTCCCCTGGGAGCTTTGGGAGGGGGCTGGGGGAGGGGGGACAGGCTTCCTCTCCACCAGTATAGCCTCCCCAGAACCATCCTGGAGAGCCTCATGCTCTCTCCCAGACTCAGCGATGCCCCCAAGCCCCAAAACCCACTGTCCAAGTGGCCCATACAGCCCCAATCCCAGTTTGCACACTGTTTAGTGATGAGGAGTTCACCACCTCTCCTGGAGGCAGCTTTTTAACATAAACTTTCCAGATAGCTCAGACTCTTGAAAAGTTGAACTGGAAGATGCCGAGGAGACAGCATGGTTGCCACTGAGGGCCTGAGGTCTCCGGGCACAGAGTCCATCAAGCAAGACTGTCCTTTCATCATTAGCTTGGAAGTGACACAACTGGCCCACCACCCTGTCACTATTATAACAGAGCTACAGTCACAATGTCCTGTAGCCAGTACCACCTCCTTCACTCAAGATAGCTAGCTAGGACCCACGAGAGTCATTCGCTCAGTCACCCAACTAACAGATCATCCATGAGGCCACTGCTCTCTGTCAGGCTCTAAGACGTGGTCCTGAACGAGGGTTCACTCAATGTTTTTTCCAGCTTAACACTTGTCCTTCACCCATTTTACAGGTGGCAAAGCTGAGTCCAGGGAAAGGCAACAACTTCTCAAAGCCACACAGGGAGCCAATGGTCAAGAGTGGAGCCCTACGCTGCTGCTGCCAGCCCTGGGAAGTCTGCCCAGGGAAGACAGTCTGCCAGCCCTGGGAAGAAAGAGAGAAGGCCGCACGTCCGCCGTCCCCAACCCCGGCCATTTCTAGGACACCAAGGTATTGATTACCACCTTGCCTTGGAGTGGTTTTCTTTTCTTTTCTTTTTCCACCAAGGCTTTCTGTTCCTCATTTTTTTTTTTTTTTTTCAAAGAATCAACTCAAAGCCGCTCCTATGATTAATTACCAGCTGCCTAATGCTCCGCCGCTGGCAATTTCTGGAAAAGGAATGAATTACCTTGAAAAACATCCGAAAAGAGAACCCACCGTGAAGGAGAATTTCAAAGGTTACCAGACAATTAGCAGAGGGTTCCCCTGGCCTGATCGAGTTGCAGGCAGGCCCCATGAGGAAGGGGCAGGCCACCAGTCTCGGGGGTCACCCTCTGGCTCCAGAGAGCAGCGGGCTTGCCGGGCTGGGCAAAGGCTGCAGGGCAGAAACAGCGGGGTTTTCCCCAAGCAGCTCCCAGGCTTGTCCTGGGGCTCCGCCCCTGGTCTCTAAGGCCTCGTGCGCTGGTTAATCCTGACGGACCTCAGTTCAAATCCCCATTCCAGCACTTACGGCTCTGTGGGTTTCCTAACCACACCGAACCTCTGGAATATGCGACATTAGACAACCCCCCCGCCCCCGTGGGATTCTTGCAGGCAGAAAGATGTATTAAAGGAGCATGGTGACTGGAACACACACAGCAGATGCTCACGAGGCTGTCACATTTAAACGCATTTACGGCTTCTAAGCATCCTCACAGCAGCCCTGTCAGCAGCGTTGGTGTCATCAGCCTCATTTTCACGCAAGCAAACTGGCTCTCACACAAGGGAAGGGACTGGCCCAAGGTCATGCAGCCGATCAGCTGACAGTCGGGATTTCCTGAAGCGGGAAGGGAGACGGAGCCTGGCTCTCCAATGTTAGAGCCCGACTGAGGCTCGCCTGGCCCTGCCCTAGGCCCCTGGAAGCACTAGGCTCCAGGAGGAACGCTGCAGGCAGCAGGGGATGTTAAGTGGCACCTCTACACCAGGGTGAAGATGTCCCTCTCTCGGACTGCCCCAGTGTCACGGTGCCTTGGGACAAAGGGCTCTGGCCCAGGTGAGAGTTTTGTGAAGCCTCTCATCTCTAGGTTGAGAGTCGCTGAGTAAGCAGGGATTACACAGGCACCCCCCCGCCCCACCCCCCGGGCACAGGGCCAAGTGAGACCAACCCTGAAATGCCACCCCATGATGAAAAACGCTGCAGCGTACGACACAGCTGGGCTCAATCTCAGGACCTGCTGTTCTGAGCTGCTTCTCAAGGGGCTCTCCCCAACTCATCAGGCCACAGGTCTAGTTCGTGTCTATTCTGGCACTAGTGGGTCCTCAGGGGGAGCAGGATGGTGAAAACTGAGGTACATGGGGGAAAAGAAGGTCCTGGCACCTTTGAGGAAAACAGCTGACACGTTCCCAGTCCTTGCTGTGTGCAGGTGTGCCGTCCCCTTACCATGACAGTGGGGCAGGCACTGCCGTCTCATTCCCATTTGATACATGGGTAAACAGAGGCACACAGTAACTACACGTGCCAGTCAGGATTTGAACCCAGTGGTCTGACCCCACGCCCAGTGTCCACCTCAACGTGTTTGCGAGAGTGGGCAGCAGGGGTGGGTAGCTCTGCACTCCTTTCAGCTGACATGCCCCTCCTCACCTGGGCCTCCTTTGGTGGGGCTGCCCATATCCCAAAGGGCTCAGAGTGCTGCAGCAGGGCTGCTGTGCCAAGACCAGGCAGCCAGACCTGCCCCTCTCCCCAGGCAGACCTCCAGTCCCACCCCTAGCAGCCACTCTAGAGAAAGGCCAGGACAAGAGGTCCCTGGGTGCCAGTTAGAGGGGAGGCCCATCTGGAGCATGATGAGGTCCCAGCAAAGGTGTCCCATGCCCACTCCTGCCCATCAGGGCTGAGGCTCAAGTCAAAGGTGCAGCGTGCCAGGCCAGCAACTGCCTTCATCAGGACACACCTGCGTCCGACCCAGCCACCTCCCGCCAGCCCAGTGGCACACCTACCTCAGTGATCCGCAAATCACCAGTGTCCCAGGCGCTGGTCAGCAGCTGGAGGCCCCTCCACCTCACTCCAGCTCCATCCTGCTGCAATGAGAGCGGGACGTCAGTGGGCCCACCCACAGCAGGGGCCCCAGCACTGACCATGAGGTCACCACCCAATGCCACTGTACCATTCCCATCTGACAGAGGGGGACTTCAAAGGGACTTGATGGGTGCCCCGGCATAAACAGGCCCCTGACCCCCAACACCTGCCAGTTACTAGTTATGTGATTACAGAGATGCGCTCAGACTCTCTGGAGTTCGGTTTCCTCATGGGTCGAAGTGGGGTCAAAATACTGTCTGAAGGTCACCAAGAGAATCCATGGAGACGTGATGACAAAGGCACTTGGCATTCACTCATTCATTCAGCAAACATGCCCATGTGATAAGTGATCCCTGCCCTTGCGGAGACTCAGAAGAGAGCAAAGAATCAAATAATACAAAAATAAAAGCGGTGCTTGCCAGAAACAATGAGTCCAGGAGCTACACAGCACAGACTCGAGGTCCCAGGTAGCCTCCCTGGGGAAATGCAGTTGAGCGACAAGCCAGGGGGAAGCAGGTGGAGATGCAGAGGACAGAGGGAACAGCATATGCGAGGACTCCAAGACGGAGAAAAGGGCCTGGCCCAGTGGAGGACTTGGGGACCAGGGGCCAGGGACAGTAAGAGAGAGGGGGAGCAGGAGCCACAGCAGCGTCTGGGCAGCCGAGGGATATGACCCTGGTTCTAGTTGGGGAAGCCCCCATGGCTATGAAGGGAGAAGGGCTTGGAGGGATAGGAGGAGGCAGAAGAGCAGTGGGGAGGCTGCTCCAGAGTCCAGGTGGGAGACGGTGTGCTCGGGGCAGAGACAGCAGCAGGCGGAAGTGCAGGGCCTGCTGGGGCGCTGGGCACGTGGGCATATGACCATCCTTGTTGGGTGAGGCTCAGCTGGCCCACCTCTTTAACAGCCCACCAGTACCCTCCCCCAGTGCTTACAGATCCTGAGGACAGGAGGGAGGATGAGGCCCTGAGACCTGGCTGATAGGCTTCTCTGGGGTCTCAGCTGGAGGCTGGGATGTGCAGCACCCTGGATTCAAGCTCTGGTATGAAGGTGCCCCCATGCGTGGCTGGGAACCATCACTGTGCCTGTCTGCACCGGAGTGCCTGCCTCTAAAAGCCAGGAAACCTGGCTGCAGGGCTCACCTCCTCTCAGAATGAGGCTCATGGCTCACAGAGGGAGGAAAGGTGCCCGTGCCACGTGAGGCATGGGCCTCCACACATGCTGAGGCGCTGGGTAAGGGCCTCAGCCTGGGCCCACCTCACTGTGCACAGATAGGGGCTCCCAGGGAGAAATGGTGTCCTCAAGAGGCAACCAGGCCTGGTGATTGAGAGGCAGGCTCAGCAGTCACAAGGATCTGCTTCCAATCTTGGCTTCACCCTTGTACCAAGTGTGTGGCTTGGACACGTTTCTTCAGCCGCTCTCTGCCTCAGTTTCCTCAACTGTGTTAGGGGATATAGAAATAACGAGAAGACTTCCCTCAAAGAGCCGTAAAGACTACGTAAGGCAGTGCAGGCGAGCGCCAGACACCGTGGCTATCCACACACGTCAGCTGATGCATAGGTGACTTCACAGGGGCCAGTGCTGGGCTCCATGAGTGCTGGAACCCTACACCCCAAGCTCCCAGAGCCAGGCCCAGGGTCCCCACCCCAGCCATGGCGAGAGGAAACAGCTCTACACCCTGACCTTCTGGCTCTGGCAGCCCCCAAATTCTGCTTACCTAGGAAATACAGTTTTAGGGTTCACTGACCCCAATTCTTCCCTCTCACTGAGGAGGAAACTGAGGCCCAGAGATGGGAGGCTTTTGCCCTCATTTGGGGTCACACAGTGAAGCAGTGACGGGGGCAGAACTGGAGTCGGCCTCCTGCCTCCCCACCGCCCACAGCTGGGCCTTTCCCAAAGGCAAGCTGGCCAGCAGAGCCGCTGACAGAGAGAAAATAATTATCTTGGCAGCTGAGACGGAAGCCAGAGCCGAAAGCCCTCGCTCCCTGGCAAGCATCTTCCAGGCCCCGAGAAATGGTGTCGGGTCATCAGCCTCTCAGGCGTACTCAGCTTACGACATACATATGTACTTTACTGCCCCAGCCACCCCAGCCCCTTGGTGTTGGGCTTATGTAAAGGAGCAAACTGAGATCAGAGAGGGCAAGGGATCTAGCCAGGGACACAGAGTCATAAGTGGGGGTGCTAGAATTTGAACTCAGGCTCTGGTAGGGAATTGTGAGCCTGCATTGGAACACCTCACTGGGAAAGGGAGGGGGAGTAGGAGGGTGCCCTGTATTGAGTCCATATTGTGGATTGTGCCTTGGACATTTCCTTTAGCCCTCAGTGAAATGCTGTGGGGTAGAAACTGACATCCCTGATTTCCACACAAGGCCAAGAGGGTCTATAACTTCCTGAGGTCACACAGCCAATCAGGAATGCACGGGAACACAGCCGGGATGCGAGTGAGCAGCCCATCCTCGCACTCTGTCCACTACACAGCAGCCAGCCTGGGAGTCTGAGCCGTGCCCGGCCCTGGGAGCTGCTCAGGAGACCTGCCTCAGGCCCAGACAGCGCTGGGCACTGTTTATGATAGAAAAGGGGGGCTCAGAAACCAGGACGCTGTGCCATGCTGTGCACACCCACCCCAGCCCTGCTGGTGCCTTAGCCGAGGCTCACAGCCTGTGTGGGCTTGGCCTCCTGGGGGGTTCAGGGAGAAGAGAGGGCAGGAGATGAGGTGTAGCCCCTTTTGCTCCCAGCCTGGTCAGACCGCAAGGATAAACCACAAGAAGCTAGAGGGGAGTGCTCTTTTCTGAAAAGGTCTTGGTACCATGGAGGGGGTGCAGCCTGAGCCTCAGGGCCGGTGGAGGCCCACCCAATCTCCCCACGAGGCAGGGACCCCAATGCCCAGATAGCTCTCCCAGGGATCCTCAGCACAGGACTCTCAATCCTGGGGTGTGTGAGACCCTGACCACTGGGCAGCTTCTCACTGCCAGGCCAGAAAGGGCAGTGTGCAGACAGGAGCCTAAAATACCCCTCACTCTCACGGTGCCTCTAAAACCCCAGGGAGGAGAGGCCAGGACCCGCGCCTGCTTTGCAGAACGTGACACTGAGAAGGATAGGGCTGCCAGAGGAGTCCAGCTGCAAAGTGACAAGGCCGGGTCTGAGACAAGGCACATGACACTTGGGGTAGGGACTGTCCTGGGACCAAGAGGGTCCCCCCCCCATACCTACCTTCCCAGCCCCACCTTCTCCAGGGAACCCTGGGAGGACCTGAGTATGGGGTTGGGTAGAGGCACTCGGCCAAGCTGACTTGGGGCTGAGTCTGACCCAGAGAGATCCAGGGTCAGTCAATCCACGATTCCTGAAGGGCAGAGGTGCCCCAAACATGGGGTATTTAGGACCAGGGTTGGCTCTAGGCCTGCAGCTAAGCAGCCAGTTGATCTCTACAGCTGCCAAGGCTTGGGAGTCCACACTTGGGGCTGGAGGCCTGGGCCTGGCCTCAAGGGTTAGGGCAAGAGTGGGCAGAGCTGGGTTGAACACCTGCTGGGTGACCTTGAGCAAGTCACTAGGCTTCCCTAAGCTCCCAGCTCCTCTCTAAGCAGGGGCCAACCGCCCTCCATTAGCTCTCACCAGGGGAGGCTCCAGGCGGCTCTGGGGGAGGGGGCAGATATCCTTAGGCACTGTGCTGGGCAGGGTCTACACCAGGGCACCCCTCAACCTGGAGTTCAGGGCTTCCATCACAGGCTCAGCTCCTCATGCTTCCTGCTGAGCACACACATGCCCCTGGCCCTGGGAGCTGTCAGACCTTAACAAGATACGGAGTGTGCAGATGCAGGTAGAGGAAGAGCTCAGCCCGTGGTGCCCACTAAAGCCAGGGCAAGGGTAATTGATCAAGATCATAAGTGGCCAAGTGGGGATGAGAACTGTGGTCACAAGGGTGTCCACTCACATCTGGTCCAACCTGCCACTCCCCTGGCCGAGCTGGCAGAACCAGCTCCCACTACACTGACCCTCAGGCGCCTGAGCTCTTCCACACTCATTTTACAGATGTGCCAAACAGCTGCTGGTCAGGCGACCAGCAGACTCTTGGGGTGACAGGGGATTCCGCACCTTGGAGAACTCTGCCGCCACACACATCCCCTTACATGACCCCAGGGACAGGCCCCTGTCTTCCCCTGGCGGGCCAGTGCTGGCTCCAGGAGCAAGGCAAATATTTACCCCATGATTATCCAAATGGGGCTGGCTGCCCCGCCTCCTGCATTCCTGAAATACCTGTTCCCTGACCTCACCAATCTGGGGGTGGGAATCCAGACACAGAGAAGAGCCAGACCCAGGCTGGGCCAGGGTGGAGGCCAAGGCACACTGGCCAGAAGGATGAGGCAGCCCCAAATCGCCCCTCCAGCCAAGCACCCACCAGCGGAGGCTCCAGGCTGCTCTGGCAGAGCTGGACCATGGCTGGAGCATGGACCTCCCCATGAACAATGAGGAGAGTTGGTCGCACTGCCCCAGGGTGCTGTGGCACCAATGCCACCTCAGAGCTCCTGTCACCAGGCCCCAGCTGTTCACACTTGCTGCCAATCAACCAAACACAGACACGTACACGCGCGCGCGCGCACACACACACACACACACACACACACACACACACACCTTATGCCTGTAGACAGAGCCTGCTCCAACGTGGAAGATTCTCCCACCTGCTAGGGCCCCTCCTCAATAACCCTGGCAGCTGTCACTGCCCCACTCCACCACTCCATCCTCAGCACAATCCTGTCACCAGTGAGCTGTAGGGTCCCATTTTGCAGAGGAAGAAAGTGCTCAGCAGAGAGCAGAGGCCACGCAGCACACAGTGCCAGAACACGAGCTGCGGTCTTCCATGCGGCACCTTGGGCAGCTCTGCGTCCCGCCATTGTCCTTTGGAACCCTATCCACCCTTCCATGCTCAAAGGCCACCTCCTCCATGCTGCCTTCTCTGAGAGCCGCCTCCAAGGGATCCGCAGGCTCCCTGAACTTCAGACAGGCTGGCGT